ATGCCCACCAGACCTCCCTACCACCCTCAGACAGTGCCTGTGCTTTCTCACCTTCCCCAGACTGCCTCTCAGGGGGCAGATTTGAGGAAAAATAAACACACTGCAGCCCTGCTCTGTGACCTGTGTCAGTAGTCTGGGGATAACCACTGGCTGTGGCACTGGGATCCCTTAAACCCTGCCCCAAACTACCTTGTTTACAGGATCTCTCAGTGCAGAACATCTCCTGTCCTAAGGCAGGTGCTCCTGTTGACTCAGGTCCATTGGCTCCAGAGTTGCCCAGTGGCTGTAGGTAGCTGAACAAGTTGTGTGTGATTCCCTGGGTGATGGCCTCTCTCCAGAAGATCACACATTCCAAGGTGTCTCACTTACCTTTCACTCTTGTTTCCACAGGGGTCCTGACTGCTGGAGAGCACAACTTTCCCTTCCAGTTCCTGCTGCCAGGTAAGATGCAGAAAAGTGGCTGAAGGCACTTCTGTGTAAATCTTGATCTTGCAGCTTCTCAAGGTGTGCTGAGCAGGACTTGGGTGGCACAGGCAGGGTGACAGCTGGGCCTGGGGACATGAGAGGGAGTGTAAGGTCAGGCACAGAAAGCAACAGAGCTCAGACATGTGCTCTGTCTCTTGGGCACTTGCAGAACTCCTCAGGTGAGGAGGGGAAAAGCTGTTTAAAGGGACTATACTTCCAGTTCAGAAACACATGGCCTGACTCAGCCTTATGATCCTTTTCTTTCTTGACTCCAGCCTCTGCTCCTACATCATTTGAAGGCCCTTTTGGCAAGGTTCTGCATCAGGTGAAAGCTGTGATAGACACACCTCGCTTCTCCAAGGACTACAAATGCAACAAGATCTTCTATGTTCTCTGCCCTCTCAACTTGAATGACATCCCTGACATCGAGGTAAGAACGAGGAGGAGCATGGCTGGGAAGTGCCAACACTTCAGTGCATTGCTCTCTGAGGAGTCACTGTGGGGTTGGACAACTCTCTGACTATGCAAGAGCAGGACAAGAACTCCTGATCTGTCCTGCCTTGGCATCAGTCCCTGCTCCAAGTGATTTTTTGACTCTTTGAAAGACCTAAGTGAATTTTCAGCATGCAGAGAGATGTGTTGGCTACAGCATCAGGTGCTTGTAGAGACCTGGGTTTGAGGAACTTGATTTGGAGAGAAGAGTGACTAACAGGACAGGAGAACTGGAGGGATGGAGAAGTGAGACCTGTTGTCTATGGTAGTACCATGTTGCTGGTTCTTTGCATCCTCTTAGACCAGATATTTCTGTTTGCTTGTTTCAAATCTCTGAGTGTTTTCCCAGAGGTTCTTTGACTCTCTGGAGCTAACATCTGTGTCTCTGCTGTCCTGCAGCAGCCCAACACTATGTCCATCACCAAGAAGTTCAACTACAAGCTTGTGAAAAGTGGCAACATTATCTTGACTGCCACATCAGATCTGAAGGGCTACATCGTGGGGCAAGCGATCCAGCTCCGCACCGACATAGAGAACAAGTCCGGCCGCGACACGGGGGCTGTGGTGGCCAGTCTGCTCCAGGTGAGCCTCACAGAGGGTGATTCTCTGCCTTGTGCTGGTGCTCCACCCCCCTGAGGCCTCTGTGAAACTGGGGCACTTCTCACCAGTTGCATCTCTGCCGCGTGTGGCTGGGAGGTGGCAGCAAGGAGGCCAAACTTCTGACTGTCTCTTCTTTCTCTACCTTCCTGGGGAAAGACGAGGGAGAACTTGTCTTGCTTATACCTACTCAGTCTATCATGTAACAGTGGGTGTTCCTGCTCCGCAGCATGCCTGTTAGGGTTGTGCTTGTGCTTATTTGGCAAAGCAGTTGGGTGGTTTTGTGTCCTGACTTACACTTGTGGGAGGCAGAAGACCACTTGCAGCCTCTCTGCTAGCTGTATTTTCTCCTGTCTGCACAGAAAGTGGCCTATAAATCCAAGCGCTGGATTTATGACCTGAGGACCATCGCAGAGGTGGAAGGCTCAGGGGTGAAAGCCTGGAAACATGCAGAGTGGAAGGAGCAGATCCTGGTTCCTGCACTGCCCCAGTCCATTCTGCAGGGCTGCAGCCTCATACACATCGACTACTACATCCAAGTGAGTACATCAGTGCTCCTGGGGAGCATCCTTGGGCTAGGCTACAGCTCTGGGCTCAGTTGCTGAGCTCTGTAGCTGTGTGCTGTGGGTGGCCCTAAGCTCAGGTGAACCTTTCCTCTGGTGATGTATAATGAAGACGATGCCACTGTTTTTCCTTCTCTTCCAGGTTTCCCTCAAGTCTCCAGAGGTTTCGGTCACTCTCCCCATTTACATTGGTAACATTGCTGTGAACAGGGTTCCGCTGAGCCCCTCCCGCTCCATCCAGCACGTCCCATCTGTGGTGGTCCCCAGTGCCCCCCCAGAGGAAGAGGAGGCTGCCAGTGGTTACCACCCAATGGACAATATCTCAATCCCCACCAAAAGCCATTCCCAGCAGCAGCCCTTTAGCTACGCCCCAGGACTGAGCTTCCAGGAGATCAGGGCGGACTCGGAGCAGACAGGCTCCCCAAACCATCCCCCCCTCTGCCTGTCCACGGGAGCCACTGTCCCATACTATGCTGAAGGGAATGTGGTGCCTGTCCCCACGGCCAGCTCACTCATCCTGCCTCCAGAGTACAGCACGTGGGGATACCCCTATGGTGAGCAGCTCTCTCCCGGGATCTGCATGGGCTGGTGGGGGTAAAGGTCTCTTATCACCTGCCTCTTTGCTAGCTGTGAGCTGGGTGGGAATCTGGGGATGTCATCCTGCCTGGGGCTGGTGTCAGAGGGATTGAGAGAGCTCTCTGCCTGCTCTAGCCTCCAGAGGAGATCCCTCTTCCAGCTGTAAAGGCTGCTGTCCTTCCCACGTTCACACCCGTGCCTGCCCCAGGCTCGTTGTGAGAGAATCTCCCTGTTCTTAAATGAGGTCTCAGCCTCCCACTGAGAAAAACTCCTTGGCTTGTGGTGAGGCTGGTGGGAGCAGAGCCAGGGAAATGATGTCACTGAGATCTTCTGTCTGACTTGCAGTGGGGCTGCAGCTGGTCTGAAGGCACACTGTGGGGGTGGGAGCTGAGAGACTGTCCAGGGTGGAAAAGCTCAGGGAAATCCCAGTGTGCTGGATTCCTGGAGCCATGCTGGGGTGGCAGGGGCCAGTGGTGTCTGTTAGCACAGTCCTACCCAAATCCACCCATCTGTTAGCACTGGGGTCATGAAGTGACATGTGTCACTTCAGCCCCAGGGTGGGATCACCTGTGATCCAGAGGTGCTGGATGCTTGTGAAAGAAGGGGAGGAGCAGACTGTAAGGAAGAGATTTTGGCCCCTGTAGGCACCAGGGCAGGGCTGGGACTGGCTCACATCCAGTGTGTGCACACACAGACCCTCAGCAGGGCAGGTTGGGGGATCCTGGCACAAAGTGCCTGTGTGTGTGACGTGTTAGTGGTTTGCTCCACTCTGCACCGACTCACACAGACTGGGGTGAAGAGAACCTCCCAAACACACACCATAACCATAACCTCTCTCATTCTTCCTTTCCCCCACAGAGGCACCTCCATCCTACGAGCAGAGCTGCAGCAGTGCCAACTCCATCAGCAATGGCAACTAGCCCTCCCCTGCTTCGAGTCCCTCGGGCGCTGCCCACCCTGGCGCCACGGCTCACCTGCCTCCTGCAGAGTCTGGTACAGCACAAGGTGTCTTCTTATCTCTCTGGCTTCTGCGGGGGGCAACTGGCACATCCCAGCCTGGGCTTATGAAGTCTCTTTCTAGGAACGGGGTAAGAAACCAAAAAAAGGGCAGCCAGAGCAGCCTGCATGTGTGTAGGAGAGGTCTGGGAGACCGAACCATCTCTTGCTGCTGCACCAAGTGCTGGAGAGCTGGATTTGCCCCAGGGATACCCTTGGCAGCAGCCTGTTCCAGTACTGTAGTCAACACTAACTGCTTTACTATCAAAGCACCTGCGATGCCTTATCTGAAACGCTCCTGACTTGGCACGTCCCCACTGTAGGTGAAGGCTGGGCTGTGTGGACTTCCTCTTCTCTTTTAGGGGCCATGTGCTCTCCAGAAATGGTTTTGACAGCCCTTCCCTCCTTGTCCTAATAGCTCCTAAGGGTAGCAGGAGGTTTCTTGGAGTAAGCAGGTTCAGAAGGTCAGGGACTTTTAAAAGCCAAAAGCACAAGCCCTTGCTATGCCTGTGTCGTGAGGGGAGTGACCAGCAGCCTTTGGCCCTCTGGCAGTGGCTGTGAGTGAGAGGAGAGCAGGCTCAGGCAGTGGGGAGCTTCTGGGGACACATAACCCAAGAGGCCCTGGTGAGCTGTGGGGGCACAGCCTGGTGCTCAGGGGGTGCCCACCCCTCAGCTTCTGCCCTTTTCCAGCACAAGCAACTCTCCTCCACAGAGCCCAGGCCCATCCTTGCTCACTGCTAGGCTGCAGTGGTAACAGTGCAGATAACAGATATCCCTGGGATGACAGTGCTGGTCGCTCCGCAAGCAGGGGGATCACATCCCTGTGTCCCATCACCCCTGCAGGGTGTCCTCTCCTCCCAGGCCAGAGTTACATGATGATCAAGTTACAAAAGTCTTTCGCTACCTCTGAGCCTGCCCAAGGGCCCTGTCTGTGGAAGCTCTTCCCTCTGGGACCACTCTCCATGGGGTCTCTCACAGCAGCAGGCAGCACTGCCAACCAGTGCACAAGGCTGCAGGGCCAGGGGCCTGTTCTGGTGCTGGTTTACCACACATCCCCTGAGGCACAGCAGGATGCAGAGAAGAGTGTGTGGAACACAAAGTGCTGCACCTCATTCCAGCCCCTGCTGGGCCTGGCAGGTGGGGGAAGAAGCTGATGGATGTAAACCAACATCTTTCCTTTGTGCTTTTTTCTTTCCCCCTTGTTTAGCTTGTTTAGTATTGACTGCCCAAGCTGAGGAATCCACAGGCTTCAGGCACACAGCCAGGCTGGAATTGTGGCCTTTGTCACCTCTGAGAGTCCCCACACAACCTCAGGCTGGGCAGGCAGTACCTAACAGACCTTTAGGAGCACTTGCAGCCACTGCCTCCTCATTTCAGCCTGCCTCCACACACCCCACAGGCAGCTGGGGGACAGGCCCTGCTTTGCACTCTTCCTTTGCAAATGCTTTTAATTTTCTTTTCTTTTATTTTGGGGGGTTTTTAAAGCATTGAAACTGCTTTAAGGATAGTGTAGCTAAGGTGCTGTTCTGAGCAGTGCTGGCACAACATGCACCGATGCTAATAGAGTGATTGTCATTGTCCCTGAATATATATATATATATATGAGATGAAGTTTTGTTTTTAATGATTGAACTCAGAAAATACAAATTTTAATGCTGTATTTAATAAATTATTCTAAGAGAAATGCCGTGCTTTTTCATCCACGTCTGATGCTCATCCATGTGCCTCTTCATGCCAAATCTAGGAATGCACCTTGTTGATTGCTTACAAAATGAAGCGACTTTCTTTGCTCTCACCAGGAAGGACAGTGACCTCTACCAAGGCAGCTTGGGGAAAAGAAACATGGTGTGATCTGACTGCAGTGCCAGGCTCAGAGTTCCAGAGGGCTGGAGGGAGTTTGGCACCATGTGGGCTTGGCTCTGGAGAGAGCAGCCACAGCTCTGCTGCTTCCCCAGCCTTGTGTCCCAAAGCCAGGGCTTGTCCAAGGGGCACAGGGGTCTTGGGCAGTGCTTGCTGCTGTCTGGAAGGGAGGAAGGGGAGAGTGAGCTCTCCCCTCAGGAGGATGGAGATGGCACTGTCAGGGTCTGGCTGGAAGGGCTGGAGACCACCAGCCTATGCCTCCTTCTAAAGATCCACTTGGAATAAACATTAAAAGCAGAAGAAGGTTCCTCCCCACACCCACACTTTGCTGATCCCATGTCTGAAGCATGTAGGTGTTGCCTAAATGTTGTCATTCAGGTAGCCTGGGGTGTGATCTGTGTCTGGGACACAAGGATCCTTCTTCATTCTCTGCTCAGCTTAGCCTTCTGCCCATCTTGCATGATTTAAGACTCTCTCTTGCCTGGTGGCCTGCCATGAACAGCATTGTTGATCCACAGGGGTCAAAAGCCAGTACAGCTCTTCCCCAGTGCTCTTCCTCTTCCTCCCTGTGTCTTGCCTGGCCCAGCCTGTAGCTCCCGTGACCTTCCTTGCTGTTGGCTGTAGGTATCCCTGCTTTCAGGCCTCAACCCAACTCCCTTCCACACCTCTGGAAAAATTCCTATGAGCTGTCAATGCTTCTGGACCTGCTGGATTGGGCTGCAGAATCCTGACCCAGCCTGGCTCTGGGAGAGGCAGCTGGGACTGGGCTCCCTGCTCCTTGTCCTCCATCCCTGAGGCTGAGCTGCTGGTGATGTGTCCAGCCCACACTCCTTGGCTGGAAAATGGGAATGCTGTTTGGTTGCTGTCCTTCCAGACCCTCAAGGCAGCGTCTGTCCTCCTTGTTTTACCTTCACATTGGGAATGTCTGTCTGTGGTGGAAGCTCTGGAGAGGAGAGCCTGGCTGTACCTCACCCAGCTCCCATGCTCTTCCCTGCCTCTCTGCAGTGCTCCTGTGCATCTAGACTAGCTACAAATTTGTCCTTGGGCACCTCTTGCTGTACATGGAGTTCCCTTTGTAAAGCAAGGAGCAAGTGGGCACACTATTCTTCACCAGTGAGGAGTGTCCATTGCTGTTGGCTGCTGTGGAGGGAGCAGGAAAGAGTTGGAGTTAGACCTTATCCTTTTGGATGCCAAGGCTGCTCCACAGCCCAGGTCCTGCAGAGAGAGGCCTCTCTCAGCCCAGTGAGGTAGCTCTGGCCAAGGTGCAACTGTTTATCACCCCAAGTTTGTCTCCAAGCAGCCTCACTGTTGTGTGAGCAAAGAGAAATAACAGGTGAGAATCTGTGGTTTCCAACAGCCTTGTCTGTCCCAGCACTGCCAGAGAGGTGAAGCCAGACACAAAGAGCTTGGATCATGTTTTAACAGAGCTCTTTGAAATGGCCCAGGACTGCAGGATAGAGGAATGAGTCCAGATCTTCTTGAACTCTTCTGCAGCTGTGGCCTCAGGGCACTGCAGCAGTGAGGTCTGTGGGGTGTACAAGGGGCTGGGGATGAGCACAGTAGGGCAAATCCCAGTGCTTGGGTTTGGGTTTGGGTTTGTCCACTTGTTCTCTCCAGAGAGGATCAACCTCTCTGTCCTCTGCCTCACTGCTGTGTCCCTTCTCTGCAACTTCTCTGGCTTCCACCTCTTGAAAGTCCTGGGAAGCTCCTTCAGGCCCTCTCTCCTCCTCCTGAACTCTGGAATAATGAAGACAAAAGTCCATTTTCCCCTACCCAACTATGGCTAAAATACAGCGCATAGGAATTCATTCAAACTCCTGGCTCAGATTTTCCATGGAAAATACCAAAAATATCACCTGTCCTTTCTTTTTTCCTGCTGCTTCTCTGTTGTCCTTCATGGTTTTGTTCTTCTCCTGCTCTCCACATGTGCCACCTCCATATTTTTGGCTGTTTCAGTGTTGTGTCCTACCAAACTCTGCTATCCCACTGCCTGCAGGAGATGGGGAAGGGGGACATGGGGACACAAAGGCTCTTCTTGCTCTTGGATAATGATTCTTTTTTTAGCTTTCCACTGAACTTTCAGGAGTTTTGTAAAGTAAATATTTTCTGCTAGGAAGTTTTCCTGCT